CAGACAGTGAAAGAAGACCATAAAAAAAGGCAACAACAAAATAAGTGAGGAGAGGTGAAAAAGAGGGGTAATTGAACCTTGTCGTAACCTTGACATCGTCGGCCCCTGTCTTTTTTTTGGTATTTCAATGCTGATTTTTCTGGCCATCTCTCCGATCCATCCCAACTACCACGTCCCCTTTTCAACAGTCCAGATCTCTTTTATTTTTTCTTGCAAGTTCCTCAAAGGCGAGCGAAAAATTCGCGTATCATTTGTCATGAATTCGATTTAAGTTTGTTTGCCATTGCAGCTGAGCAATTTCCCTTCCACTTCCCAAAAGTTTTTCCCTCTTTGTGTGCTGCCGGTTTTCATCGCGTTTGATTGCGATTCGGGGGGCGTGGCCGCCTTCAAAATACGCGTCTGCCATTCAATTGCAATTTACGATTAACTGTGAACCTTTTCCCAAGAGCACAAACTTCTGTATAAACATTAAAAATGTGTTTATTTAAATTGAGAAAACCTCTGCTTACCATAAATAAGCTTCAACTCCCAAATAGCTGGGATTAATTTCCTTAACGAATAACAATTACATTTTAAACTACTGAAAAGTTGCAAGAAAATTCAAATGTCAACTTTGTTTTCCCGGTAGTTAAATTATTTAATTTATTGATTGCAGTTGTTAAATTGCCTTAACCAATTATTGTCAATTAGTTGGAAATATTTGCATGGGCCGTATTAAAATTGAATCTATTTTATTGAGGACGAATTCGAACAGAAATACTTAATATCAAAGTATATAAGATCAATCTTAAGCTTTTAATTGTATAAGTTGTCAGCAGTTGTTATTAAATTAAACTTTTCTTGACTAGTAAATACCTTGAATATTTTTGATTTTATTAATGGCCGAAACAAATTAAGTACAGTTAAGCTTGCTTTAGGCGAAGCCAAAGTTTGGTGGGCTAACTTTTGTGTTTTTTTTCCGGCCGACTAATGAAGCTGCAGCTTTCTCTGTCCATCTCGCTCGGTTTTGGACATCTTGCAATTGACCGCATAATAAATTTAAAGAAGCCATTGCAGTTTCAGTTCCTCCTTTTCACTTTCTTGTTCTTGTCGTCAAGTTTTAATTTGTTTTAAAACTTTTTGATTGTTTCTGCTGCTGCTGCACATCCTGTTGCTGTTGGCATGTCTCTGCAGCCGCTGTGTTGCCATGCAAATGCTGCTGTCCTGGGTATTCATTTGCAGTTGGTTTGATTAAAACGCCCTTCGTCTCGCCAAATAAAGTTTTTAATTTCATTTTATTGACACTGGCTAAAAGGCATAACAGCTCAGTGTTTGGTTTTGATATATGCCAAAGGTAATTTTGCCTGTTGTATTGCCACAAGGCAACAATGTTGTTCAAGGAGCCGGCATATCACCATAGCACGAGTTGTCATTACCATTTCCGCACGCACATCAAACAACAAGTTGCACATGTGATCTGGCAGCTAGAGTTGGCGAAACAATCAAAAACACTATCGTTGTAAGCATTTCCCAAATGAGTACGCAAAACATGTTTAGATGTCCTACAGCTGCCATAGGAACAATCGGGTCAAATTGGTAAACATTTGGAACATTTGGGACTTGCTCTTTGGTTATGCGAACCTAGAGTTTTATCAAAATTGGATGACTATATTCTATAGCTATAATATATCGCCTACCAGGGTTTTGATAAAAAACCGAAAATAGATTTTCATTTTTTAGGATTTTGGCCATGAAAAGCAGATTTTTTAAACTCATTTTTGAACAGTTTTCTGTTGTAACTTTGCCAAAATAAGACGCAAATCCAAAAGAATGACTGTTTTGTGCAGCTGGGAACCTATACAATCAATTTCAGGCTGATTTGGTAAAATTAATTTTTTGAGTCATTTTTTCATTTTTCATAAGGGGTAACACTTAATTTTTGGCGAAAATTGGGCCAAAATAAAATTTTTTAGCTGAGAATACCATTGGATTGGAATTTTTGTAACGAATTCAACGAGGTATGACATTCTAAGATCTGTCCATTATTTCCAAGGGTTTTGGTCAAAAAACCGAAAAATCGAGTTGCATTTTTCCGGCTTTTCATCGATGCAGAATTATCTCCGTGCAGCTCCATAAGGTGTTTATTTGAATGCGACACGTGGCAACGTGCTTTTCTTTTCGTTGCAATTGGACACTGAACACTGAACACCTTAAGTGGCCGCGGTGCAAACGTGCTGGAAATACTGCCAGAAATATTACACCCCTCAAAAACCAGCAAGAACAAGTCTGTGCACCATATAAACATATATACATATTCACCATTATGTGCATATATATCTGCCTGATCTGGCTGGCAACACGCGCTGTGAGTCAGCAGCAGCATGGCAAAGACCATTCCCCAGCATTCTAATTTATTTATGTTAATGCAATAAAAACACTCAATTTGCTGCACACTCGAAATGTTTTCCATGTTGCCCGGCTGCACTTAGTTGGCAAAGGCAAAAGCAAAAGCGTTATCGCAGCTACGCGAGCAACACTCGCTGAATAACCTTGTTATTGTTATTTAATTTCCCTTTTTTTATTTTATGTTTATACTTTTTTGTTACATTTCTGTTGCTGGTTGTCAGTCGTTGTTGCTTTTGCTGCTGGCCGCATGATTTATGGCGTTGACGGCAGTTTTTCTGCTTGCCAACTCAACTCCCTGCCTCCTGAATTTTTTTTCTGCAACTGCCGCACCGTGGGGAATGTGCCACGACTTCTGGGCATAAAATCTAGAAGGAGATAGTTAAAGCAGCCATTGAAAACCCCTTGAGTTGGTTTCCTTTTGGTCAAACCCTAAGGAAGCCTGTAGGAATTTTCCGTGGCCGGGTTTTCCCAGGCGAATTTTCGCTAGTTGCTCTGACATTGTCTTTTATTTTGTCTCACTGTGCGACTTTTGACTGGTTCTTGTGGCTGTTGCTGTATTATTGCCATTGCTGTTGTAATGCCTTGTTCATAGACTGCGCCCACTCTTTAGAGTTCATATTTCCCGCTCTGAAAGTCCCCTTTTCGAGTGTGATATTTGCATTTGTCCTAAAAAGAAAAACGAAAAGAAAAAGCAGAAAGAAAAGTCGCGTGGCTTGTTAAACACAGCTTTGCTTGTTAGTGACCTCTCTGAAAATTCTCCGCGTGTCTTTATTATTTGCCAACTGTGAAGTTTATAAACAATTCTCTGAGCCTTTCTCTCCTCCACACATTTAATAAAGTCATCCTATTTGCATTTGAGCCTTTGTCTTGTTATTTATTTGCAATTCCAGGACATGGTAGCTGCAGATTGCTGCTGCCAAAGCAAGATGCTGGAAAATATGTGGCCAAAAAAGGGGTATGATGGCGTGCAAATGCCATTTTAATTATATTTGGCTGGGCTGGGTTGGTTTTTCGGTTGTTTGTCGCCGCTTCGTGCGGAAGTTTTTCAATTAAAATTAAATAAAACGACATAAATCATGATGCTGCCTTGCTGTCAACTGTTTAAAACTAACAAAAACAGCAGCAACCGCAGGCAACTTCATTTTGGCTCAAGGGGGACCACGCTGCGTATGAGCAATATGCAATCCAGCTAAGCTGCTCCTCCCGTTCTCATCCTTTTCTCCCTTCTTGACACACTGACATCCAGCTGACGGACATTTTGTTTTGGCTCTCTTGCCAGTGGCAGTGGCAAAAAAGGAGATGTGGCAGTTGTTGCACTTGTCGACAATCATTAATCAAAGCGGACGGCCAGCTGAGAACTAAGAACAGAAAGCCGGGAGCTCAGAGAGGCGAGCCAGCAGGAATCTTTCAATTAAGTTCCATCAGGTCCACTAAAGACAAAGCCACACATTTATGGGCTAAGAATATATTTGATGAGACAAAACCTGAAAACATCTGAATAAAAAATTAATTCTAAATATTCCTGATTAGCACATTGGTACCATATAAATATCTAAATATCATGAAGTCATAACATTTCTACACTAATATAATATATGTATTTGTTCAAAAGTATGTGCAAAGGCTCAAAATTTCTTTAAAAATGTCCAACCAAATTATTGATTAATTTGGAAAAAACGGTTATCCCAGCTCCTGACTACTTGGATAAAAAATGAGTTAGAGAAATAAGGGCAAAAACAATAAAGCTCACAACTACAAACACATTTAACAGGTTCTCTTATTGGGCAATTTATCTCTGGAATATTAAAATTTAAGTCAAAACTAATTTTAGAAAAACTCTCCATAATATTATCAAATCACTTCTCCATTGGAGAATCGAGGTGCTCACATCCTTCTTAACGATAATAAGATGATTTCACACATAAGGTTTACCCTTGCCCAACACGCAATAAAATGTATGGTGTGTTATCATCCGCTCCCAATTGCTGTGAACCGGCAAACCAACTTTCGACCTTGAGGCGTGGCTGCAATATGGGAACTTCGGGGAGATAGCTATAACGACAGACAACCAACCCACCCACCCACTTTGCCAGCAGCAGCAAAAGCAACTTAAGAGCAACAGCAGCACTACGACCCGTGTGTGCACTTTTTATCAACGCCAATTGCAATTGTTTTTAATAATTCACTTTCACTTTCGCCGACCCCTCAAAAGTGGGCCAACAAAAGGCAGTGAAAACCTTGAACCACATACACCCGCATACACTCATACAATGTAGTATATATATTCATGTGCATATCTGGGGCCTTTTCACGCCCGAGCCCACTCTTTTGGCCCTTAATATTTTGCTCTTTGCATATGCGATATGCGATTGTTGCTGCCACTCCCGTGGGGCACAATATTTTCAATTTCATATACGCTTTTCCGTTTTCTCAACTCGAGACTCGGGCAAATAGAATTAATGAGCTTAAAGGTAAACAGCAGGCCAAAAACAATGTTATCAGGGAGTCTGCGACCTTTTGTCTCTCTTGCCTTTTAGTCCCTTTAAATAAAATCTACCTTGAATTTTCCGCAAGCCACTCAACGAGCCTCGTGCTTTGTTACTTTTTCTTTTCAGAAACAGCAGCCACATCAGCAGCAGCCACTTCAGACGGTCAGTTGCCCCAGAAATTCTTCGCCTTCGTGGCACCTGGCGTCCATCAGGTGAGCTTTTCCCGGTTCAATTGGGTGCAAACTGAAATCAGGTTGGGCAGTTCTCCGGGGAAAAATCGACAAGATGTCGTAGCCAGGAATTGTAGATGCTCTAAATGATTTCACTTGGCCAGGCGACAAAGTTGTTACATTCGTTTAAAGCGATCTTTTGGTTATCTTATCATCACCAGAGATGGAGAACTCTGAGTGGCAGAACATTTATCAGAACTCCAAGAAAGTCTGGGCTTATCTCAATAAGTATGTCACAGATTCTGATTAATCACAAGTTAGGTCCTACTCGCTTCTTAAATCTTGTGAAAGGTATATAGCCAATAAATAATAATATTAATCTAGCTTCAACATGACTAGGTGACCAGTGACCCGATTTTAAACTCGGTCGCTTCCTCTTAGTTTCTCTTCAGAAATCATATGTCACATTCAGTTACGCAGTCATTTCACTGATTTAAATATGCTTAGCTTCCTTTAGCTGGGTTGCCCTCCATAAAAAAAGTAAAGCAAACTCCTCGGGCATATGTTGATGTGTTTAAGCCTATTTATTATATTTTAACTTGCTCAATGCTCCGTTCACTGTACACCGCCTTGAATCAAACGAAATCCTGCTTTCAGAACCCCCTTGTTTTCCCCTAGCCACTTTTCCCATTTTCTGTTTGGAGCCATGTTGTTGTATCAAGTGGATGGCTCCATGAAATGGCCAACGGACATGCCAACAACAAATATAACAAGAAGCAAACAAACAACGGCAAACAACAAGCTCGCATTAAACGTTTTCGCTTTATCCTGCTGACTTTTTGGTTTTCGGATACCAGATCCAGGTTGATTTTTCGTTTTTTTTTGTTTTTTGGGTCAGTCCGACTCAGGCTCAGGCAGCTCGCTTTGATTTCGATTTTGCTACGGCCAAGACCTTCCGCTGAATGTGTATTTTCCACACTTTTCGGCCCAGGGCGATTCGCATTATCGGCTGCCCATTATCTCTGCTCTGGAATGTTAACCGAATTCCACCGACTTGGCTCCTCCGACCATGCATCATCTAATTTATGGCCTAGACAAACTGGCAAAAAGGAGAAAGGGGAAAGGGGGAAAGGGCAGCTCACTGCTTTCATTTCATTAATTATGCAGCGAAAAATCAACAACAGCAGGTGCCAGAGTCGGAAAATGGGGATGGATGCGTGACACGAACCTTGCCACTGATGTGGAAACTTCGATCTGAACTTTCAATCTTGTTTTCGGACTTCATAGACTGCATTTATTTAAATATACTTAACATTTTGTTTCGCAATATTCATATTTAGATTAACACATCAGATTGAGGGTTCGAGTCGAATGGTAAACCCTCCAACGCTGAACTGGACCCAAAAACTCCTTTCAATTTCCCTCTCTAATTTTGTTGGTGGTTCCGATTTTTGCTGATTCTTGTTGTGGGTTGTTATATGTTTTTGTTTTTCGTTTTTTTCTGTGTGTGTGTGCTACGACCACAAAATCTGTTTATGCGCCTCCAGCCAACTCCAGTTGTTGTTCTCCGCCCCCTTAGCCCGTTTTCCAACTCTGGGGCTGCATTTGACTTTTATATGTGAACTAATTCATGAAAAATGCATGCTGCCTGGCTTGCTGCTCGTTTGCTCGCTTGCTTGGCTGCTTGGCTGCTCATGCTCTTGCTTTTTGATTTCTGTGCTTTTTGCCTTCGGTTTCTGCTGTTTTGCTTTTGCTGTTGCTGTTGCATTTGCTCTTCGCAGCGCCCAAATGAAGAAAAACCGGCCACCATAAATCGTTGCCGTCAACTCGCCGCTGCATTCGTTTTCCAAACTGCAAATGCGAGTACGACTTGCGAACGGGGATGTGAATGGCAAATGCTGCGGCTTTGGCTCCTTTTTAAACTGCAGCTCCCCCATCTATTCCAACTTCTGAAAGCCAACTGTATCTCAAACTCCATTCTCCATCATCCCCAGTTTGTTCTGCGGCTTTGTTCGTGTGGCAAATAATTAAATTAAGATTTTTATAACTTAATTGGGCTAGACCCAAGTAAGATGGTTTTGCCATACAATATATCTACTCCGATCACACCGCTAGCACAAACATACCAAAAACCAGGAAATATAAATTAAATAATTAATTTAATGAATTAATTCATAGAAACACTGCTTTCCTCATTAGGTCCTTGATCTTGCAACCTGGTGTCTAGTCCAAGTTGCTGTTGCACACACAAACATATTACATAGAAATACAATTTAAAAGCTAACTTTTCTTAATTAATTCGTAAATTTTTGCTGTTAGGATCTCCAAGCTTTATAGGGTCGGAAACGGTTCCTTCTACCTGTTATATACTTTCCAACGATATTGTATTTGTTTTTGATAGCAAAAATCCAGAAAAAAACATATTTTTTCAGTTTTTTAATCAAAACCCTTGGAAATAATGGTCAGATCTTGGAATGTCATACCTCGTTGAATTCGTTACAAAATTTCCAATCGATTGGTATACTCAGCTCAAAAATTTTATTTTCGGCCATATTTGGTAAAAAATCAAGTGTTACCCCTTACCAAAAATGCGAAAATCGGTCAAAAAATGAAATTTATTAAAACCTCCTGGAATCGATTGTGTAGGTTGTCAGCTACACAGAACAGTCATTCATTTGACTGTGCGTCTTATTTTGGCAAAGCTACAACAAAAAAACCGTTAAAAATTAGTTTTTAAAAGGAGTTTATTTATGCAAATCGATTTTACGTTTTTTGTTTCACAGCAGTCTGCCTTAATGAATTTCTCGATTTAAACCAAATTCTATTTAAGGTTTTAATGTGCTCCTAAAAGTTCGTTTGCCAATCAATTTTTTGAGAGTTCTTAATAAGGTACCATTCTAAAACAATTCTATTACCTTCATTCATTTGGCCTAAGCCATAGTGTGGTGTTCCCGAAAGTCCAATGCTTCGCCAAATGTTATGTTTTATGAAGTTCAGCTTTCGGCGTTAGCTTGTGGCTGCTGCCGTGCTGATTGTTGCCTTTTGGGGTTACCTGGCCACTGCGGAGCACCGAAATCTGCACAGAATCTAAGCGCACGACGTCTCTGCAGCAATCCTTGAACTTTTCGCTTTTCAAAAATGCACAGCAGCATGAAAAAAGTCGCGATTGCAGGGGCGGCGGGGCAGCTGTTTGCGCATGGGGATGCTGGGTGGAAAATGGAAAAGAGGAAATGGGGAAATGTGGAAAAGGGGAAAAGGGGGGCTTACTTATGCATTCGGCTTTCATTAACATGCAGTTGCCTTTAGCCGGCGTCGCCAGCGCCATCAAAAGCATAAATTCCATATGCAAATTGAGGCAGTTGGCTCGGTCACAAGGTGGTTTTGCCAGGCGGCGGTTACTGGTTACTGGTACTGGTTACTAGTGGTTCGCTCGCCTTTGTGCCTTTGCCTTTCAAAGCGGCAACAAAAGGGCAGAAAAAAAACGTGGACAGAACAAGAAGGAGAAAACAGAAAAACCAAGCGAAACCAAAGAGCCGCCATCAAATGGGTCCCAAACTAACCGAACCACACCGAATTGAGCGGAGAACGGCACATACCTTGGGAAAAGAATGTTCCTTAAATAAATTTGGGAGAGCAATAATAAAATAATTTTACATTCACCAATCTTTGTCCTCAACAACACCAAAGGTTTTGAAATAGTGCATAAGTAGGATACAGACCGTTGCATATTACACATTTTTAGATTTCTCATTTGGTAAGATATGAACTTACTAACTAACGTTAAAATAAAAGAGCGTATTCGTCCTTGTTGAAATTATTTGATCGTGTTATCAAAATCAAACGAAGGACAGGACATTATTTCCCATTGTTTCTTTGTCCCGCCAAGTTTGTAACGTTTATTCGCCTCACACTGCCTTTTTGGTGACTTTTGCAGTTTCCTTTGTTTGGCATTTCCATTGCTATTGCTATTGCCTTGGCCATGGCTGTACTTGTACTGCTATTGCAACTGCGAATGGCAGCCATTTGCTGCCGTTTTTGTGGCACTTCTCACTTTCCGTTGTTTGCTTTTCGCCGGCACTGTTTGCTTACGTTGCCACCCGTCCCGTGGTTCCGTAGTGTCGTAGTGGCGTGGTGGCGTAAAAAGGTACGTATAGCTGTCCGGCCGTAGATAGCACCGCCATTGTAATGCCTTCCGGAAAAGCTTTCTGCTCTCTCTGTTTTCTGTGCGAGTTTCGCATGGAATATATTCCGGCTACGTCGCGTAACCCACTCACGTAATTGTGTCACGTCGCCGTATTATATTGAAACGAGGAGTAATTGCGTTCAGTTCCTAGGTTCTTTATGTAGTTAACGTAATTTCTGCATACTTTATTATTATTATTAGCTTTGGTGGTTTTGTGAGATTAAATGGTTTGACAAATGTGGGTTACCTATTTTGGTGAGGGGGAAGGTAAATGTTTTCGCAAGTGCTACCATTATAGCGTGTCGTTGACTTTTATGTTTTCTTCTAATAGAATTCTTAAATTAATTTCCACGTAATTGATTTAATATCCTTACGTAGTTCGCCCAAGTCACTTATCTGCGTAACATGCGCCTCCATCGATCGCATGTCCCACATGTCGCATTTACCCAGGCAAATATTTTGCAATTTGCTCACGTAATTGTCTCACGTCAATAGGCAACGTTATACCTGCAGCGTTACTTGGTTTCCGTCCTCTTGCCACATATATTCGCCATCTATCAGCTTAGCACCTTGCAATGGAATCTATTGACTTATTGCCGCCACATTAAGCGGGTTGGAAACGAGGAGCATTCCCCCCAAACCCCACCTTCAGCCATCCTTGACAATTTCAGCAATGTTAGTTCAAGCGACAACGACAGGATTGGGGATACAGGATTGAGGATGCATTCGGAGGCATCCTCGGCTGCCGCATTGCAATCAAAGTCAGCGGGCCTGAGTGACAGCGAGACGAACTTCCAGATACGCCATCCATCCATCCGTCCGTCCTTGAAACACCCCCCCGCCCCCCGCCTGCCCATGT